ATTACTCACTATTCTCATCAAATTTACTGTGATCAGATTTTTTTAAAAATAAAATGGCAACACTTAATTTTTTACGAAAATTTTAGGTAGCGTTCAGCTGACTTTTGTTTTGGTTATGTTCACAACAAAGTGTTTTTACTCACTTTTTATTCACTTAACAAAACAGAATTCTTAGTATTTTTCACTTTTCCAATAAGATTACTCATTTTTTCAATTGGATTTTTGCATTTTTTTTTCAAATTATTGACTGAGCTCACTTTCGTAAAATAGTGAAATGGACGATCAGACACCTAAGATTTTGTCGTACGTATTTGTAAGCAATACTAAAGGGTTAACGAATAATAATTATGAAAATGTCATTATGCGAAAATGTCAATGTCATAAAAGTTTCTATTAGCAAATGTTCACTATTACACTGATTTTTACAATTAGTGTTTTGAAAATTCTTTTGAATCTAAATATATTTTCCGTAGCAAACTAGTCATTTTTCCTAATATTTAAGGGGGCATACATTTAATAAGTGTCACAAAGTATACATAAACAAAATTTCAAGTACAATGTAAATTTAAGTTTCATGATTAACAAAAAAATTAATATTTTATTTTATTTCAAATATAGACACCTTCAAATCTTAAACTAATTTACATAATATTTAAGGAAAAAAAACAGCTATAATTGCATTGTTTTATTTAATTAATTGTTTATTTCCGAATGAAGTACGCAAAAACAAATTTTTGCTATAATATTTATTAAATATGAAATAATTTTAAATTTTCGTCACGTTCTCTCGCATAAATATTATTTCCATAAAAATAAGAAATTTCGGGCACCTTATATTTGCGGCATTTCTATTTGAAAATTAAAATTCAACTATACTTTCTGACAATTCTAATTCATAATTTTGATCTTCATTAGATTTAAGTTTGCAAGAATTTTCCTTCTCAGTTCCATTCAAGTCATTTTATCACCCAACACCCTTATATTAACAAATTTATACAATATAATATGTCAAATATATTTTTCACTAAAAATTTGCGTTAAATCAAAATATTATTACTCAACTTGCTAATTCAATAAAATCAACTAAAACAAATGATTTTCAAATTCTATTCAAATTTCAAGTATCTACTTCAAGTTCAAGTGTTATTTCTAAGAAATTTTGAAAAAATAAACAAGTCGAAATAATCACAATCAGTCATACTCTGATTTCATATAGTACACATAACTTTCAATAAAGTTTATTTAAAGGTTATGTATACAAAAAAATGAGCAATTTTTCATTATTGTTTACTTTTGAATATAATAAATTAGTTTTTCGTCATCTAAATAAAAAACTTCGCTATGAAATCAGAAAATAAAATTTAATTGAATAAAATATTAAAATATTTAAAGGAAAATTTTGTTCAGTCCATTCCTCCGTGCGTTACACCGTTTCAACAACAAATGGATGATTGCCGTAGAGGTAAATCATTTCCGTTGACTTCCAAACTGGTGCCTTTTATAATTTTCTTTCCTTTCTTCACTTGAGAGCTTTAGGATCTTTCATTTGATTACTAATGGCTAACATCAGTTTTACAGGTCATTGGAATTAACTAGGCGGGGGTTAGGCCATAGAGTCATGCCTTTTATAGTGAAATTTAAATTTGCATTTCTTTGAAACTAAAAGTTTTCACCAAATTTCTGTCAAATGGAAAAAGTATAGTCGAAATGCCTTTTAATCTAAAAAAAAATGAGCTATAAATTTCAATTTGTATAAATTATTAAGGTTATTTCTTTTGTTCCTAAAAATATGCAATATAAGTTAGAGAAACGCGTTTTTAAATAAATAAAATATTTAAGGAATATGTGCTACTTTACAAAACTATGTTTTCATACTATTTTATTCACAAAAACATTTTATGTGTCATTTTAACTAATTTTTTTTTTATTTACAGCACAGCCCCTTATATCCCCCAAAAATTTATCTCAAAATTACTATTATTTTTCATTCAATATTCTAAAATTTATTTATTTTTTTTTTGTTTTTAAACAAAATAAATATTGTAAAAAATTAAAAAAATCATAGTTTTGAAAAATTTTTTATGAATATTCATTTCCTGTGATAACCTTTTAGTACGTGTAAAAAATTTACAATCATATGTTATTATTTTAGTATAAATACCAAAGTCAAGGGCCTTCTTTTGCAAAGAGCAAAGAAAAGGCACATCTTTAGTATTTATTTATTTACTTTCATATTGTATACAGGCATATGGCGCTTAAACAATGCTTGTACATAAAAAATATTTGCAGTCACTGATTCGTACATTTTTCTTACGATTTTATTACGATCTTTCAAAATTTATTTTTTTTATTTAATCGCTTTTCTACAACTTTTAATAAGAAGCGGTCTTATTCCAACAAATTGAGGTTGTTTCGTCCTTTCAGCTAGATAGAGTACCAAATAAAAAAATTACTCAAAGTTTTTGAGAAATAACGTTGCAATCTAAAAATCTAGTTGTATTTCTTTTTTGCTTCTGGTACTTAAACGCTCACATTTGCATGAAAACACGCACTTAACAAACTCCTGGCGGTCCAATACTTCAAGCCGCGTAAAACTAGATTACGAAAAGCACACTTAACCTCCCGCTTTTGCGAGGAAACTACTAATATAACAATGAAGCCGCGTTTTTGGTATTCCATTTTAAGCTGAGGTTTCACTATACTCGCTTTTCACTGTAGATTCCACTACAAATGTAAATGTAAATTTAATTTAAAAATCCAACAACAAAAAAAATAAAATACAATTTCTTTCTTTTAAGTTAAACAGCTATAAATATATACATATAAAAAAAATATATGTATATAAAAAAAAACAAAATAAATAAAATTTTAATAATAACCGGCATTATGAAACAAAAGTCATATTTGTCTTTATATAACTTTATTTTATCAATATTTATACTTGACAAATCTCCTAATTGTTTTATTTATATTATTATTTTAGACAATTAGGAATTGGTATTTTCAATACATTTAAAATTAAAATATGAACATTATTTACAAACAAATAAAAACAAATAGAAAAAAGAAAACATTAGCACTTTCATATTTAATTATTGTGTTACGGTAAGCGTACAATAAGTTCTATTTACAACAAGGTACATACAACTTGCTTATTATCTCTGGGAAACTACTCGATCAAGTGATACATCAACGAACCGAAGATGCCTTCTCGGGAACGGAGGTGATTTTATTTCGGTCAAAGATAAAATAATTCGTGTTATAGTTATATAATCAAATAATTTTTAGGCGGCTATAAAGGCTATAGAAAAATCACCCAATTTGACAATGGTACGACTTACAGATTTCACATAACAATAGTGTTGAATAATCAGTCTGCCACAATAAATCTAAACTTTTAAAAGGTTTTTTACCGCTAAGGAAAGAGAAATACCTAAATAGACTTAAGCGGTAAGTTGAAAATAACTGAATTATGCTTTTCTGAATCTCGGTGTACATTGATGAGAAAGTAAATGAAGAAACTAGTTTTATTGCAAAACATCAGGAGGTCATATTAGCTTTTCGCAATCTGACCCCATAAGGGCTAGAACCCTTTCGAACAATTGGAAAGAAATAGAATGAATTTATATGCACTATTTCCGCGAAATACGACACAAATTTCTGAAACCAAAAATGTCGTATACTCGCGTTGTCGTTTGAGTAGGAAACAAAATGTATGGAAACAAAAATAGAATTTTTAAAAACAACAAAATATAATAGCGAAACCAAAAAAATTTTATTTTTTAACATAAAAAAATAAAAAAGAAAATTTGATTAAGTTTATATGTATATCACTTCAATTCGTATTTTTGACTACTGACTAGTTTTTTTAACTAGAAAGAGTTCACTATATTGAAGTATGTGTTTTAGAATTACCGTATAACTAAATTCGGTATAGATTTTTATTCAAGAATCAGTAAAATCTGTCAAAAAAAAAAATAAAAAATTTTTGATGTCGTATCAGGAATTTATATTATGTCGTAGCTCGAAATGTCGTATTAGAAGATGTCGTATCTGGAGGACTTAGTGCATGCCGAATGCGCTCACGATTTCAGTAAACAAGTATTGCAGTTGAAGGGACATTGTAAACTAGGCTTGAGCACAGTATGTCTTGTATGTCATTTTGGGACATTAATCTATGGGAGATTTGAGTTTCTGATTGAACGTTCAATTATTTTGCACTTATAAATTATTGACAGAGTTCTTACTTCATTCAAAATGGAATTTTTATCCTATTTGCGTGCATAAAATGTAGTATAACTATTTTAGTATATATAAAAATTGATTTTACAAATATTTATATAAAAAATTATAATTTAATTTTTTTTCTTTCTTTTTCAGATGAAAAATTCAAAAAAAATTCTTAATCATTGTAAAATTTCCTGAACTTTTAACAAACAATTTACGCTGCAATATTTAGATTCTAATATTAAAGGCAAACAAAATACAAAAATAAATATTTTTCTTTTAATTTTTATTTTTTCTAATCACGGTTTTACTACAGTAATTTGTAAAAAATGTTCAATTTTAAATGGCTTTATATATTTACAATAAATTTTCTAATAATTTCAAATATAAATTCAACAACAATTCATTCATCAATATATAATAATAAAAATATTTCAACAACTACAATAATTAATGACAATAATGATGATAATAATATAAGAGTTATACAATCATCATCATCATCATCATCATCACTATCATCAACATCATCGATTCATTCAATAATGAATCGTACATGTGAAGAATTTTGTGAAACTCATTCACTTAATAAATTACATACTGATTTAATACTTAATGATCACAATAATGATAATGATCAAATTGATAATGATATTAATAATTTTAATAATAATGATTATGATCCTGATATTAGTTTAATTATAACAAATTGGTTAAATCAAAATCAACATTATAAAAATCAAGATTATAAAAATTCTTTAGTAGAAGATTATTTAAAAAAATCTTCAATTATTTTTGGTTTAACAAAAACGGTAAATGAAGATTATGTTAGTCATATATGTTTTAATCAATTACAAGAAATTAAGAAAGCTATCTTACGTAAGGATATTTGGGGTATAAAAGGTAAGTTAGGAATTTTATTTAGCTATTTAACAAAAATTTTTTTTATTAAAAACTCAATTCCCTTTGCAAATAATTCACTTAAAAACTCTCCTAAACATTAAAAAAAATTATTCTTATTATTGTCATGTCCAACTCCAATAATTAGAGTTTCAAATATTTAACAAAACTCATATACAGATGAAGTTTAGAAATTTCTATTTACTGCAAATTCAAATTAAAAAAAATAAATTAATTCATAGACCCCAAGAAGTATGCAAATGTACAAAAAATGTCTAGTTTAAACCATTTTATTGAAATTTGATTGTGAAGTTGGACAAAAACCTGCAAATAAATTCAAATTTAATATAGCATGTTTGAAATATAATAAAATATTGGTTCTTGAGTACCATTGATATTTTAAATGTAAATTTCCAAGCAATAATAAATTTGCTTCTCAAAAATTTCTTATTCCATTGTATACAATACATATAACAAATATTGCGAATACTTCTCCTCCTGTACAATTTATAGATCTCATACAAAATACTGAAAGTTTCACACAAATATTGTATAAGTTTTATATAAATATTGAAAGTCTAAAATGAAAGATCAACATAAGTTGATTTGTAATATTACTAATCTTATTATAACTTTTTCATTTATTTAATTCTTTAAATTTTTATTACAGTTCTTGATGCATCTGGTGTTAAAAAACCCGGTTTCTTATGGGGTAATAGCTTTTGGTTTGGTAGTAAAGAAGGTTGTGATGCTGTACAAAATCCAGTTTATATAACATTATCGGATCAATTAAAACGTACAATGAAAATGGGATTAATTGGTGATTTAGCACCATTTGCAATGGAATATCGTATAGTTTATATTAAACATAATTCACCATGGCAAGTTGAAAATAAAGTACAAACAGAAGGTATCATACATGTTGGATTATGTATACCAAAATCATGTAGTAATAATGAAATTCATAATATAACACAAAATTATATTGAACAAGATATTTACACTGAAACAAATTTATATGAAATGAGCCCACAAATAATTAATGTTAAAGATTTAAAAATTGATAATAATTTTATAAATAAGAAAAGTATAAAATTATTGGGTACATTTATAATATTTACAATATTAATGTTTATATTTTCTGGTTGTTTAAATGAAAATATTTCATTAATAACAGAAAATTTTAAAAGCAATATTAATAATGGTAATGTTCAAAGATCAAATTTAAGAAATAATGATAATAATGATAAAAATAATATTGAAACTAAACCATCAATTGAAAAATTAAGAGATTTAAGCCCATTTAGAAAATTTAATTCAGATGAATCAGAAATTTATAAATTAATAAAATGTTTTGATTTTCAAAAGAATTGGAAAGAATTATTTTTAATTAAAGATCAAGATGCTAGTGCAATACCAATTATAAATGGTATAAGATCAATTTCATGTATTTGGATTATATGCTTTCATGTTGCATGGTATATGTGGTTTACAATTGATGATCAAACATTTTTAGTATCAAATGCAGAAAAGATTTTTTATCAATATATAAGTACAGCACCGTTATTAGTTGATGTTTTCTTTACAATCAGTGGATTTTTATTAGCATATAAATTTATTAAAAATGAAAAAGAAATGAAAATTATTGCAGAAAATAATTGTAAAGAAAATTTTAAAATATTATTGGATAAAATTTTTCATAGATATTTAAGGTAATGATATAGAAATAATAAATAAAATTTTAAATTTATATTATTTTCACCAATTTAAAAGAATTTATCATGTCTCTTTTTCCCTCTTTCTCCCCTATTTTTGAATTTTTTCTCATAAAAATACTTTCGTCGAACAATTTCAAACACAATATTTTGGAATTTCAAAAATTCCAGTTTTGATATTGCGGAATTAAGTTTATATTTTATTCAATAATGCTGAATATCACAATAAGTATTAACGCAACGCTCAATAGTTGATTTCATTTGATTTTAAAACATGTTATGTAGATTATACAACATGTTTGATTCATAAGTTTCGTTATTAATTAGACTACAAACTTATTGAAATTTTTGAATAATTGCAAGTCAAAGTCGAGATTATTTGACTTAAATTTTTTTTTAAATATGCAGTTACTTAAAAATCAATTGAGCTGAATATTTAATTTATTTGAGTTTCCGTGATTAGAAACTTTATAAGAGTACTTAACTTTATTCTTCGCCAATTCATTGTAAATTTTTAAATAAACCAAACTGTTTAGTGTATAATATTAAAATTAATAAAATAAGAGATGAATAATTTTACAATAACTTTAATTTTTTTCTTTTAGATTAGCACCACCTTCATTTGCTCTAATTGGAATTGTTGAAGTATTTTCAGCATATTCAGAAAATGTATCTATTTTTCATTTACATGAAAGAAATGATGAAACATGTTCGAAATATTGGTGGAGAAATTTTCTTTTCATACAAAATTTTTATAATTTGGATGGTAAGTAAATGTAAAATTGATGTATGTATGTAGCGGAAGACATTATTACTGCAGTAATAAAGTTATTTCAATTTCAATTTATCAAACTTTGTTACGAGTATGGCATTAAAATTGCAATAATATTGTATTGCTACCTTTCTATAATTGGTGAATTTTGTAGTGACACGGCAATATTACATTAAATTTGTTAATAATTTTCTAACTATTTAAATCTTTCAGATATGTGTTTAAACTGGAGCTGGTCATTGGCATGTGAAATGCAATTTTTCATATTAACACTGTTACTTTTATTTGTTTATACAAAGTACGTAAAATTTTAAATAATATTTCTATAAAAAAAAATTTTTAATATTCAAAATTTCATTAATTATATTATTGTTTTCCTTTGTATGTTTTTATTTCTTTTCATTATACCAGAAATCAACAAAGAGCAAAAAATATTTTTATTGTTAGTTTTATAACAACAATTATATGGAGTTTTATTGCCGGTTTTAAATATCAATATCAATTATCATTTGATATTGCATATAAAACAAGAACTCATATTTATATAAATCCATTTTTAAGAATTTTACCATATTATTTGGGTACGGGAGCTGGTTGGTATTTAGCAACAAATAAAGGTGAATTTGAAATGACACAAAAATTTGAAAAACGTTGCTGGTATATATCACTTGTTATATTCTTTGTTTCAATATATTCAACAATTAAACGCGATATTGGTTATTTACCAACAATTGCATTAATGGTCATTGGAAGAATATTATTTTCATTATCAGTATGTTGGATGATAATTGGAAGTGCAACTGGTCACGGTGTATGGTGGTCAAGAATATTAGAATGTAAATTATTTCAACATCTCAACAAATTATCATATTGCATGTATTTAATTAATCCATTAGTTATATTTATCATATTCAATTTATCAAATTCAACAAATCATACTGATCCAATTATGATGGTAAATATTAAATTTATTGTTTTACATTTTGTTTTTTTCGGCCTAAAAAGAAAAATAAATTTTTATATTTTAAAAATAATTTTTTTTTAATTCTAGAGCGTTCTAACAGTTGGGATCATTGTTATAGTTTATGTGCTTTCAATATTCTTTTCAATATCATTTGAGATGCCCTACTGTAATTTCTCAACATTTTTACATAAAAGAAATAAAAAGAAAATAGCATAGTGTTAAATACAATATTTGTATGTATATAAGAGTCTAATGTTATGGATATGTATTATTGTCAAGCCACATAATGTTGAACCATTCCGCAGTTAAATATTTTAGGAAGTTTCGGAAGAGATTTGAAAGCAATCAAATAGATTGATATCTATAGGTACAAAATTTGAACTCAAACCTAAAATCGAATTAAATATTTTTATGTAACGTAGTATAGATAATATAAAAATTAACTATAAGTAATCTACGTTATGCAAATTGGAGTTTTTTATATGATTCACAAAAATTTTTGTTTTCATGATTAATAATTTTGTTTTATACAATATTTCTAAAATATTTTGTTAATTGTTGGCGAAACATCATGTGTGCTAAACATAATTTAAGTTAATTATTATTATTTTATAAGGGCTTAATGATTTTATATTACATTAAATTTATATTACATATTAAATTTTCTTAAATTATTGTAATATTTCATAATATTTTTGTATTTCACAAAAATATACATATACATATAAGCAAAAAAAGAATAAAGTAAATGTGATTTTAAATATATGCGAAAGTATAAAATTTTATCCTGTATTTATGAATAATATTATTAATATTGAAGTTGTAATTTAAGGTAAAGAGAATAACTTTAATTATTTTCAAATTAAAAACAAAATATTTTTTTTAAGTAAATTACATTACAAATTCATTATAATTTATGTATCAAATAAAGAAATATTGTAACATTTTTTTGTGTAGAATATGTGTTATAAATTTTTAAAATTATCAAAAATTTGCAAATCTCTGATGTAGGAAATTACTGGCAAGACCAGAAAATACAACATTAATAGTAGTTACCGAACAAAAGTCGAAGTTCAATGTCCAGTAAATCGAAGACATTTTTGCAAGAGTAAAAATCCTCTATGTTTTTCAAAAATTTATAAACATAATTATACTTGCCACGAATTCCCGTTAACCAATGGGTACAGCACTTGGATCCGGAACAAATAACAGCATATTTTCAAATATATGTACAAATATTCACACGTATCCAATTTTTCGATCACAATTTCAAAAATTTGCTCGTCCTCCATGATTTTCAAATTACATAGATATGTATATATGTACATACATATATAGTTTTTCCATTTAAAAGAAGTGCTGGATATGAATCATACTGGATATCCAGGCTTTAAAATTCCATTAGTATTTTTCCTATACTCAATACTGAATACATGTTAATGAATTGGCTGTAATTTCCGAGTTGCTTAATAAAATACACAAAAATTGTAATATAACGGATAAACGTATTAATAGACTGAGGGTAGAATCCATCTCTAACTGTAGGATAAAACTGTATAATCTCTGTGTAAATCTTAAACTGCATTTTAAAAATTTAAATTATCACATCAAATTACAATATGCACAACAAAAGAATGTTATTCGGCTTTTTTACACGTGTATTCACAGATCGTATGTAGAACCAACCGTTTTTTTTCAACGCCCTCTTTCCTACAAAAATATAATTTATTCGATGAAGAATAATGGAAAGTAAATTTATCCTGTTTTGACATTTTTATTGATTAATTTTGACAGTTGTAAAAAAGCAAAGTCAAATCTCGAGAAATAAAAAGTATAGTAACTGTGAAAACAAAACTAAAGCGATGAGCGGTAACAGCAGAACAATTTCCGTTGTTAACGCAGAACAAGAGCGGAACGGCAAAATCAATTGAACAGTATTTTGCAATTAACGTTACACACACAATGGAAACATATAATGCCAAAAAAAAACCGCCGCCGCGATGAAATTCGTCACGGTCATTTCGCTTGATTTTGACCAGACTCATTTAAATATGTGTATGCCATATAAATTCTGACATTTCTCCGCAAAAAGGCGCTTTTCTTCTGTTTTCAAAATTATGTTTTTAATATGTTTCCTTTAAATTTTAAAACTATATGATATGCTAATTAACTGAGAATGGAAAAATTTTGTGGTAAATTTTAGTACAAACAATATTTAGTACAACAATATTTAATTTCCTTTGGCAACAATCCGCGACATCATATTTTTTTTAAATGTCATATAAACTGTCTTGGTTAATGTCATCCACGTAAATGCGTAAAGCAAGCAATTTTTGCAAAAATCTCACAGGTTTTAAGTTTTGGTTGTGAGTACCTGAAACAAAATAGATATAACAAAGAATTAAATACCATCGAAATGGAAACAATAAATTGGGAAAATCATTTTGATTTAGGTTTCGCTGAAGAATGCGAATTACCATGGCTGTTATTAAATAGACATTTTCCTAGTAAAATAGGCGGGAAACCCGCCTGGTTAGACTTAGAAAATTTCCCCACATATAATGAAATGAAATGCCCAGTATGTAAAGAACCCAGAGTTCTTCTGTGCCAGGTAATAATTTTATTTTTAAAAATATTAAATATGCTTAAAAAAAACTATATTTTGAATAGATTTATTGCCCAATAGATGAGAAAGAAGAATGCTTTCATAGAACGATTTTTGTTTTTGTATGTAAAACAGAGTCTTGTTATCAGGAAAATTCATCTGAGTAAGAAAATCAAAAAAATAAATAAATTCAATTAAAATATTTTCCTTAATATGCAGGAATATTCTTGTGCTAAGAAGTCAGCTAAGGCGACATAATGAATATTATCCATATGAACCACCAGACGAAAATATAGAATTGGTAAGAATTATTTAGCTACAAATTATTTTAACAATCGCCCATATTATCTTAAAAGAATCACTTGACGTAAGATGGGATATTAATCAAAAATATTGATGCTTTTGAGTTTAAAATTTAAAATATCAGTTTAATTCTGAACATTGCGAAATTCTCACCTCAAGTGGTGTTTGTAAGAAAATATGAGCGGGTTTAAATATATTTAAACCACGAGAATCTTATTTTATTTTAACATCATTTTAGCCTGAACTTAATTGTTTTAAAAGTCTGTGTTCTGTATGTGGTTGTCATGGACCATTGCTATGTTCTCGTTGCAAGGGGATCACTTATTGCAGTAGCACTCATCAAAGAGCTGATTGGAAATATCACAAACAAATCTGTCGAGGAGAAACAGCATCAAGTACAAATAAAACAACTAAACATACCGTTTTTCCCGAACTCCAAATGGTTATTGAACCGGAAGAGTTAACCTTTGATGAACCAGAACAGAGTGAAACTGAGGAAGAAGCCGAAAAACGTCGTTTAAGAGAATATGAAGAATTACAAAAATCTGGGAAAGTTGGAGAGTTTAAAGATATTTCTGATGAAGAGTTAGCAAAATATGCTGGATCGGATATACAAGATAAACAATTTAAATTATTTAAGAAAACTATTCAATCAGAACCTGAACAAGTTTTGCGTTATCGCAGAAAAGGAAAACCACTTTGGATAACAACAAAGGAACCAACTTTACAAGATATTATTCCAAATTGTGAAAGATGTGATAGTGAAAGATGTTTTGAATTTCAAATTATGCCACAAATGTTAAATTATATAAAAGATGATAACATTGATTGGGGAGTAATTGCAGTTTATACATGTGTCAACAGTTGTTCAATTAAAGGATACGCTAAAGAATTTTGTATAAAACAGGACATAATATCTAAGCCTAATGATTCTATTACGAAAACAGAATAAGGTATTTATTTTTCAGATACCTTACCTTTATTTTTTTTAATTTTAATTATATGACGTATCATTAATTAATACGAATTATATAAAACAATTATTTTTAAGGAAAAGAAAAATAAAACAGGTATTTATCGTAATTTTAATTGTAGTCCGAAATATTGTCTTTAATTTAAAAATTTATTTTTCAAATTATTTTTTATTTATCCAGTTAAAGTTATATTTTGGCAACTGGATTTATTGGCAAAATTTATAATAGACCTAATAGGTTAACTATATTTTTGTTTTTTACATTTAAGTATTTTAATTTGTTAATTTTTATGAACAGCAAATATAGAGACAGAAAATCCTATTCAAAAAACAAAAACATAAATCATCAAGCCGCTTAGGATATAAGATTTTTTATATCCTAGGTATACTAAGATCTTTTGCATAATAAAATAGTTATATGCAATAATTGAGAAACTGCATCCCCGATAAATAGAAAATAGTAAGGAAACTAGAGAATATTGGATTTTAGTGTTTAGGAAAACACAACAAATATTAAAATATTTCAGGGAATTTTCGATAATTCAGTTCTAACTTAGGTTAATACAAAGCCCGTCCAAAAAAAACTGCAAAATCTACAAAAACAGCATGTTCGAAAATGATGTCGCTCAAAAAAAGGCTCATTGAAAAATTCCAAATTGCAAAATCTATAATATGCATATTTTGCACTTTGTTTTCCAATATACTCGAATAATTGTTCAACATCCAACAATTTTCTATTATATTGTTCTTCTAATTTATAAGGTTTTTGCAGTAGTTATTAAAATACTTTGAGAAATCCATGTCATTTTCGAACAATTGACGATCACTTCCCATAAAAATACAATTCAGCCGTTTAATATTAATTGACTGAAAATGTCTGTAATCCAAAATGTAATATTGCGTAAAGTGACAGTCAATAAAAAATTTTCAAAATCAACAATTGAGTTTTTGACACTTAAAAATATTTTCGATTTTCAAACAACATAATTTATATCAAAGTATCAATATCTTTCATTAGATGTCACTATAATCTATTAACTTTTTCAAACCAAATAACATTTAAAAATTTTGACATATCCCAATAAACAAACTGTCAAAATTCCAATTAAATTCCGATAATGTCTTCTCATATATTTTGACAGTTTAGTTAAAAAAAAAAATTTTTTTGCATGGATTCATAAAAAAAAAAAAAATTTTTTTTCCTGCTTTTCATACGACCAGTCAAATCTCAAAGTCAATATGGTACGTACGACGGGTTGGCAAAATCTTGTGTACAAAAATTATATACAAAAAAAAAAATTTATTTTCTCTGTGTATCAATAAAATCAATTTTTTAAAAAAAAGTTTTTTTTTTTATTATTTTTAATGGCTGTTTTATTATTAAAATTGAAATTATAATAAAAACGACGAAAAAAGTTCAACTTTTTAATTATTTTAATTTTAAATAGAATACAAAACACAAGAATATTTTTTTTTTACGTTCCGCTAATAATACAAAAAAGAAAAAAAAAGTTTTTTGGTAAAATAAAAAAAAAAAATCAGTATTTTTTAAAATATATATATATATATATAAATATTTAATATGTATGTATGTATATATACGCATAAATAAATTAATAAGAAAGAAAAAACGAAAAAATTGAGTGGCTAAATAAAATAAATTTTATAAAATAATATAAAAATAAAATATACCTACATACATTTGTACAAACATATGTGTATGCACATTATGCTAATATAGCAAAAAAATTTATAAAATAAAAAATATATAAACGAAATATATAGATGATTTCCTTTTGAAAAAAAAAAATTAAAATAAGAAGAAGAAAAAAATCGATTATGCTTGGGGAGCATAATATGAAAATTGGTATAGAAAAATTAAAAAAAAAAATGTTTGCCTCTTGTTATGCCTAGCTACTAAGTATATATTTAATAAGGTATTATTACATGCATACATACATACATATATGTATAGTAAATTCAGTAGTGGAATTAAAAATTTTTGTTTTTATTTTATTTATTTTTTGTATTTTTTTTTTATGTATATTGTAGCCTCCTCAGTTTTGGATGTCATTTGAAAATATCTACATAATATAAGTAGGTATGCTTTTATTTGAAGAAAAGTGAAAACAACACATAGCGATACACACGAAAAACAAGAACAATAAAAAAAAAATAACAATACTTTTCTATATAAAAGTTTATATTACAAAAATTATTATTATATACTTAACTACCAACCTATACCTACTTACATATTTAATTTAAGTTTATTAAATAAAATAAAAGAATAAAAAAAAAATTACCATATTAAATCGATTTAATTCATTTCCTACAATAAAATATAAGTAAAAAATAATAATATAACAAAAAAAAAAAAAATAGTAAGCAGGCAATTTATTGTAAAATTTTTAAATAAAATATTTTTGTTTTATTTTTTTCTTTTAGAATTTAAGTAATAAGAATAATAATTGTATGAATATATGAAATTTTTACATAATAATTTTTGTTTATTTTAAATATTTTAAAATAAAAATCAAGCAAAAATTATACCAAATTATCAATAAATTCAAAATACATAAATAATTATTAAAATAGAAAATATTAAATAAGAAAATTCTATTTAATTTACAATTTATTGTTTTTGTGCTGATTATATTAAGAAATAATAAGAATATATAAGAAATACAAATATAAAATTTTTGTCATAATGCACATAAATAATATACGCTATTATACTAAATATATTACATATATATATAACTATTATATTATGAATAGAAGTGTTAATTATTGTGCTAAAATATAAAAATAATTAAATATTGTAACTTAGCAATATAAGAAATTATTAAAAAAAAATTAAGTATATTTAATTTTAATATTCTATGCAAATGAATTAAACAAAATTTAAATAAATAATCTATATAATATAAATTACATGCTGCTTTTTAAAAAATATATATACATATTAATATAAATTTTATATTATATAAATAAGTGTATAACAAGCCCATTATGTGCATATTTATTAAAAAAGAAATGATATTTTTCAATATTATACAAAATAATATTGTAATTTTATAATAATATAAAAAAAAATAAATTAAAAATATATTATTTTCGTATTAAAGAAAAATTAGAAAAATAATTAACTAATAATAATATAAGTATAATTAGTTGGAAGGTGATCTCAGGTGTTTAAATAACAATAATCTTGTAAAATAATAAAAAAAAAAATTGAAAATTTTCATAATTTCCTTGATTTTTTTTTTTATTTTAGTTTTTAATTTTTTTTAATTTAATTTAATTTAATATTTTAAATTTAAATTTCAGTTTATTATTGCTTTTATTAAATTTTATTTTTATTAAATTTCATTTTATGTGCCAATAATTATGTAAATTTGTTTTTTTAAAAAAAATTTAATAAAAAAAAAAGATTTATAATAAAAGTATTATATTAATAAGATCTAACTACAATTTTTCATATATTAAGAAATTATAGAACTTAAATAAAAGGAAAATTGGAATCAACTAGATACTCAACTACCTACCTACCTACCAATCTATACCTACTACTTTTATGTAAATGTATATTTGTTTAAAATATGTTCTATTTGTGAAGTTACCTATGAAATTTACCCTTTAAAAAGGTATTGCTATAAAAAATGGTAGTTGAATTTTAAATATGTTAATTATTTAATAAAATTTACTTTAAGAAAAATTTAAAATAAATTCTATGTAATATTTAAATATTAATCAATTTAAAATAAAAAATTATAAGAAATTAATAAGTAAGTGAATGGAATAGAAAACAAAAAAGGAAAACAGGAAATAGATTTATATTCTTGTTTTTCATCACTTATCATTATTATTAATTAATTAATTAAAAAAAAAGTGTGTTTTTCCTATTAAATTATAAAAGCTAATCCACAACAAAAGAAAAACAAAGTAAAATAAATAAAAGAAACAGAAAAAAAAATAAAAAGAATTGTTTAAAAATTTTAAAAAATTTATTACTCTTAGTCAAAATAAAAATACGCAAAAATGTCTACAGATAAAATTAAAGTAGCTGTAAGGGTGCGACCCTTTAATCGCAGAGGTAAGTTTAAATTTAATTACAAATGATTAATATTTTATAAAATTTTTTTTTTGTAAAACAAATTTTAATTCAATTAATATTTAAATGCAATTAAATTTTTGGCTACTTACCTAATTTTCAATTAAAATTTTCAAACCTTTAGTAAGTATAGTAAAATAAATATGATACTCGTATGTAATTTGCAGAAGTTAAATTATTAATTCCATACTTTAGTGCAAGAATAATCCAAGAGTTCAATTAAAATGACAAAATATTAACAACATATTCATATGTAAGTTGAGAAAAGCATAATCATAAAAGGTTAATAACAGGAAAAATTATAGTAGGAAATTAGAATTCTAATAAGTTGGTTAGATTAGATTGATGCGGCTTCAAATTTGATTTATTTATTTCACTGTGATATCGAAATTGAATGTGTAATCAAATAAAACTTAGTTTAATTGTTTAGTAGGCAATTTATTAACGTGAATTAATTGAATAATTCTATAAGATAAGAGAAACTAAAATTAAAAAATTTTGAAAAACAACAGGAATATTTTATTTTAAAAACTCAAGTCTCACTCACTGCATTTCCAGTTACTGCATTATTTATTAATATTTATTTATAAACAGACTCATGCTTTTTACTGAATTCGATTCTTAGTTGAATTATTGTATTCCAGCTAACATGACGATTCATTTTCAGTGCTTTAAGTGCTACAGCATTATTGGCAATAGGTACTAAAATAAAAATAAAAAAAAACTATTTTTATATTTTGATGCAGCTTTTCATCCTACTAAAAGTAAATACTACTACTAGTCCGAAACTAAAATTTTTAGATAAAGAAATCTTAGGGAATTATTTTACTTTCTTAAGCTTAGCCATATATAAAGTGATACTAAAACGTCCCATAGAAGTAGGTATGCACCAATTAAATGGCAAGAAAATTTGTATATTGTATACATACATAGGTACACATAACTATATACACCCTAATATAGAATCGCTACTGATATAGAATCTGTAACAACAAGTATATGTATAAGATTTAGCAACTTATGTATGTAAAATTATATGTATACACATGTATATAGAGGAAACGAAAGAAATAGAAAAAAAACCCACATGTTTATAATTTTCTTATCCGCTTGTCGTTTTCGCTGAAACTTCAAAATAATTCTTTTTTTTTATTTTATTTCATTTTATTTATTTATTTTTATATTGTTTTTTTTTTTATTCAGAAATTGTTATATTGAATATTATTTTCTACATATACTTATATATAATTTTATATAAATTTTAAAATGGCATTTTTAATGTTTGTTATTCGATTTTGAATGACTTATTAAAAAAAAAAGTATTGTCACAATATTGTTGTGTATGTATGTACATACATATTATATAAGTATATAGTTATACTTAGAAGATTTAATCATATGACTCATTAATATGCATATATTATTTATAACTAGTTATTTTTATTATTTTTACTTATTTATTGGTGAATTCAAATAGTTATTTTTATATTTAAATATATTTTCACCTATGAATTTTATTATGAAAGTATAACTATTTTTTTTAATCTTACCTATTGTAGCCGTATGAATACTTATTAAAATTTCATAAATAAGTAAGCATTTAGTTTTTATTTAAGTATTCAAGTTTATTTTATTTTATTATTTTTAATAAAATAATATTTTAGTTATTCTATTATAAGAATGCTTTCAATGTCGAATGTCAAGAGTCAATGCCTCTGTTATGAAACGGTATGATATACTTAATTAAGTATGGGAAGGATCAAACCGAAGCGAGCCAAATACTTAACAGAAAAATCAGCCAATAGTTTTAATAGAAATAGCTGGACAAATTCTTATTATTATTGTTATATAAAGATAAGCGATAAATTTAGTTGAAGAACACAATTTTAATCTTATTGTTGATATGTCAGTTTTTATGTGTATACCTACATAAATGTAAGAATTAATATACATACTTAACGTGTATACATGTTCATTTATGTTCTCCGAAATGTGAACGTGTTGGTTTAAGTACTCGTGCTTTGTGTTTTTTATTTTTCAACAATGCAAAATTAAAAAAAATTCAAATTAAAAGTTTTTAATACAAAAAATCTTTGAACTGGAATAGCTGTTAATTAATACCCGTTTCATTAATATTGTATAATCATTTATTAAACCTGTTTATTATTAAATTCTATATATATATACTTAATTTCTTATTATTTTAATTTATTTATTTATTTTTACTAATAATTTATTTTAATATATTATAAAATTTACTATTCAATAATAAGTAAGTATTGTTTGTTTCTTAAATACGGTATTTAATCATTTAATTACGACGTTTCCGTAGAACACTATGAAATTTAATTATTAAAATAAAATTAATTTTTTTGTCCATTATTGTCGGAAATTTTCAATACTTAGTCTCATTTATAATTATAAATAATATTGTAGAAATTAAACGGATACCCTCACATTTAAACATAATTGTATCATATTTAAATTTATACATATACGCTTACGTATATGAATATTTCAATATTTGTACTTATATTATATAGGAGAAAAAAAGCTTATCAGCGATCTAGTTTGTTCACATTACACACATAAGAAAAAAAAAAATTAAATAAATTTTTAATATTTGCGCACTTGACACACTGAATTTTTTTTTTATTTTTCTTATTTTCTTTATTTTATTAAATTTATAAATAAAGATTATATTTGTATATACATATATAAGTACAAACAGAATTACTCTTTGGCGCTAATGTTACCAGTATTAGAATATCTTGTGTAAGATTTTGAATTATTTTCTTTAGAGAAATTAGAAAAATGCTCCAATAATTTGCTTATTAAAGTACTTAAAATTATTAAATTACTAGTAATTAAATAATTATTATTTACTAATTACTAAGCTATGTACTCTGATGGTGTCCGAAGCTACGGCTCGCGTAAATTTACGAATGAATCTTGTAATTATGAACAAAAAAATAAAATTATTGAAGTCAAATTGAATCAAATTTTGCGTAGCAGCGTTCAAAACTTCCACTACTTTTATTAGAAATTATTTCTGAAAATCGTACACACAATATCCAAGAACCCAAAGATCAAAGAATGTGCTACTCTTAAAAATACGACGGCACCTTTAAGAGAAAGAAAATGAAATTAAAAAATTGCAATTCAATTTTTTATTATATTTACCTGATTTTATTATACTTTTTTTTTACCAGTTATGGAATCAAAGTGATCTCATATCACACCTTTTCAATAACTACTTACTTAAGTATAGATATACATTCGTACATACTCACATATATATTTCAATATTGAAATTATGATCACTAATTTGTCGTTTCATTAAAAACTTATTAGTCATACTCACTATATAACAGTTTATTTTTGCTTCTTTTTTATATACTTACTTAATAATAGAAAAATTTATTGACTTCAGAAAGTATAAATAAAATCCGTATGATTGCATACACTAACTATACACTTATTTATATTTTTCAAGGAAATTTCTGTTTTTATATTTTCTGATTTATTTATATACAATATTATTGCAAAATATTATTTAAACAATAGAAAGTTAAATAAAATAAGAAATCATAGAAGTAAGTAGCAAGAAGAGTATATACGTACATGTAAATCCCTAAATTTGGCAATCCCTAATTATAGTCACGATCGAAAATTTATGTGTTTCCAAAAAGGTTATAACCAAAAAATTTCATACACCTAACAATTGAATGAGAAAAACAGTGAAAGTTACTTGATATTTGAATTTCTCATGAAAAAAAAATTTTTGCAAATTTTTTTATCGCGAAATTCAATAACATACTTTATATTTCAATTGAATAATACTATACCTTATTTTAATATTTTACTCTACCACTTGTTACTTACTTTTAATCACTTATTTTTCTCATTAGAAAAAATTTTATAAACACACACAATTTTTTTTACGTTCAAGTATAGCATTATATATGCATTCAATTTAAAATGCAAAATATTCCACTTACCTAATAATTCGCTAATTATTATAGTTTAGTAGTTTACTCAATAAAGTCTACAATTGGAGAAAAAAAAAATTGCAACAGTAACAAAATAAGAAAAAAAAATTCCAATGTGGTCAGCACATAACCGACCGCAATGTATATTGCCTAGTTTAGTGAAAGCATTACAGAAGATTATGAAAATGCATTTTAAACCCTTGATCAATCCGTGCCATAGCCAAAGTAAACTCACATATAAAATTTCATCAAAATCGATTCAGTCGAACTTGAGGTACACGCTTGTACACATAGACCGACAGACCGACATCTCACTAAAATAGTTTATTTACGCTTTCCTACCATGCACATAACCTACTTATTGTATACACAATACGCTGGGTAAAAATGAAATCGAATTTCAATTAATAAGTAAGTAATTTTTTTTTTTATTTTTCAATAAAAAAATTTTGTAGGTCATTTATATTTTATACTGTAATATTTCTTACGTGTATTATTCAACAATATAATTAATACATGTGCAACATATACAAATACACTATTAATCACATGTTTTATAAATATACGAATAACTTGGTTTTATTTTAATTAAGCTATACTTAATAATTATAACAATATATAAGAAAAATTTCAATACTTTAGTTGATTGCTTGGCATTCAAGACTAGACATTCATTTTATACTTTAATAAATTTTCAATCTTAGGAACCCCTCACATAAATATACGACAAATTTTACGATTCCATACGAGTCTGTTGAAAGTCGTACATGCAATATATAAGACCTGTTTGACATCAGACTTCCTTCGACGACAAATAAGTAACAGATGAATTTCTTTTTTCTCATTAAAATTACTGTCAGATTTTTTAAAATTAAAATGACAACAATTAAATTTTTCCAAAAGATTTGAACAGCGTTCAGCTCATTTTAATTTTAATTGTAATTTCCGTAGAAATTTGTTTAATTATAAACGTAAAGTCGGAGATAGTTT